GGGGGGGGGGGGGGGGGGAGGGGAGGGGGAGCGAACGATAACCCAACCAACGGGTGAGGTTGATGCAACGGCTAAACGGATTCGATAGCAACACATAGTATCTCGAAGGCTGCGTTTCGATGGCGATGACACTCGAGCACAATTCTCTTCTCTCGTTCCTCGATTAACTGTTCGCATCATCACATCGGGGTCCGTCGATCGTTAATCGACGCGGGCTGGCGTTCGTGTCGTCTTCTTCCTCTTCTCCTCTCTTGTTCCTTCTTTCATCTGACGGAGGAGGACGGGGTGTCGAATGTGCGTGCGCGGTTTGAGCGAGGTACAGTGGGTATAGTGTAACAGTAGTAATAGACAGCTTACAGACATTATGTTCGGTTGTTACGTTTACTCTACGTGGTAACTCGTCTACTAAGAGCGGGCTTACGCGCGACACTTACCGCGCGACATTTCAACGCGACTCTCTCGCAGTATCCTAACGTCGCAACGTGACGTTCGAGGGGTTTCAAACTCCTCGTTTCTTCGCGTGAAATTCGCGCGCGGTAAATTGTCACGCGTAAACTCCAACCTATAACGCTTTTCAGTCTCTCTTGTAAGTTGAAACGACACCGACGACAACGACGAACGATTTATTGCATTAGTTTCTTTTCCTCAATTACGTAAACACGTACGGTAACATCCCACGCGGGAGGGTGAGATCGGCCGCTGCGCGATTGAATAAGGTTGTTTTGTGATGAACGTGCGACGTGGGGGGCTCGATTCGTTGTGAAGAATGAATGTACGATCGGGTCCGATGACCTGGATGACTGGAAGACAAAGGGAGCGCTCGGAAGTCGCGTATTGCTCGCTTCGATATGCATCCGGTACACGTTTAGTGTCCTGTCAGGCTGTGCAAAGTCTGACATTCGCAGGTATATTGGTCGGTCGGAAAAATTTCTTCTTCTCGCAGTCGTTGGTCGTTTCGTATAGTAGAATAAGATGGCAGTTCGCAGTTTCGCTCCCGTTACCATTAGAATTTTACGGTTTTGTAACAGTCATCGCGCGTTCGCGTTATACTTTCGCTATCGTTAATAATTAAAAGGTTGCGGAGTGCATGTTGTGGATACGCGCGCGTGCGCGTGTATATATGTGTGTGTGTGTGTGTTCGTGTTTTGTACGAATGTGTACTTTGGCATCGGTGGCAAGTACTCGTCGCGCAGAGATCCTTGCCGGAGGGAAGAAATCCGAGGTGGATACGTGTAGCGCCGCCATTTCAACTAACTAGGATTATTACACGGAGTGGAACAAGTGTGGCAGTTGACGAATCATCGTCGTAGAAACACTTCGCGGACTCGCGGGTGCCCGTATATCGTATTCCTGCCACGGATATAGAACAAACAACAATACGGCGCCGCCCTTTGCGGAACCAAGCGGCAGCTTGTAGATTCTTTCTCGGTCTCTCTCGTCAAACTTTGCCTCCCTGTTAAAGCCGAATGCTCATTACGATTAATCTGCCACGCGTGTGTGTTGGCGCGTTCGTCCGCCTGATTATTACTTTATACTTTACTTTATAATTTACGCCCTAAATATCCGGACCGATCGTCTCGAGGACTGGGCCTCGACGGATCGATCGCGCCGGGAATCAGGAAGCGCCGCTGTGATGGGCAGCTCACATCGCCGAGCTGATAATAGAGCCGTCTCGAGGATACGAGCGATTACGCGTTGTCTCGTCGACATAGGCCAGGAACAGGACGAAGGGAGCACGTCGGATTATCACTTGAGTGGCTGGCGGCCGGACGCGAGGCGCCAATTCGAATTAACGAAACGACGGACCGCGGCTTACATCGACTTTTGCATGTGATTTTCCTCTCATTCCTTCCTTCTTTTTTTTTCTTTTTTCTTTCTTTTTTTTTTTTTATTTCTTTACTTTATACGACGGGGTTCTCGCGTGCGCATCGGAAGCTTTTACATTTATTTACACCGCGATTACAAAGTCACGGACGTTTCGTTGGCTGCTGTGACCGCGATCGAAGTCGCACTCGGCCTCGCTTAACTCAAACGCGTCGGAGAAGCCCGAGGGTGGGTCCAGCTTGGGGACGAACAGGTTTCCTGATCCGTCACGCTCCTGGTCCCTATTGGCACAGGAATTGCCCGACTGGTGCTTGGGATGGCCAGGCCCGGCGATTGGCCCGAAGTTGGCACGGGCCTCCTCGCTGGTATGACGCGCCAGCTGTAACATCCTGAGAACAAAAAGGGCCAGTGAAGGGTATTTTCTGGGATATTTGAGCGAGTGAATGTGACTGATGTGTTTTCTTGATTATCAATTCGGATGATCTCTCTCGAATTTGTCGAGCTGTGAAATTTAATGTTTGAACTGATCTATGAAAGATTAATCATAAATCCAATGAAATCAACGATCCAATCATTCAACGAGCTTTTGCGAGTCCCTAACATAAGACGATGTATTTACCAGGTCTGTAAATATGAAACCGGAATTTTTGTATAGAAAATATATGTTTATTGTATGAAAGTGATAAAAAATATTTTATTCGAAGTATTGCCCATCGCTAGCTATACATTTTTCCCACCTGTCTGACAATTTGTGGATGCCACGCCAAAAAAACTGTTGCTCTTTTGAGGCAAACCAGTCATCGAGCCATTTTCGTACATTTTCGTAAGAAGTGAAGCGCTGCTTAGCAAGTGCGTGTCCCATCGATGCAAATAAATAGTAATCGGACGGAGCCAAGTCTGGTGAGTAAGCCGCATGCGAAAGTATTTCCTAACTAAACGCCTCAATCGTTTCCTTGACCAGTTTTGCTGTGTATGATGGTGCATTATCATGAAGCAAAATCACTTTGTGTTGCCTTTTTTTATATTCTGGTCGTTTTTCACGCAAAGCTTGATTCAAATCGATCATTTGTTGTCGGTAGCGTTCAGAATTAACGGTTTGGTCAGGTTTTAGCAGCTCATAATAGATCACACCCTTCTGATCCCACCAAACACAGAGCATTGTCTTCCGTCCATAGCGATTTGGCCTTGCAGTCAATGTCGATGGTTCGCCTGGAGTTATCCATGATCTTTTACGCTAAGGATTCTCAAAATATATCCATTTTTCATCACCAGTCACAATTCGATGGAGAAATGACTTTTTTTGTACCTGGCGAGTAGCATTTCGCAAGTGGTTTTTCGGTTTTCCTGCTGTCTTTCATTCAGTTCATGTGGAACCCATTTTCCCATCTTCTGGATCTTTCCCATGGCTTTCAAACGTATGGAGACGGCTTCTCGTGTCACATTTAATTGATCCGCGAGTTGTTGTTGCGTTTGAGTGTCATCCTCATTGCAACAATGCTTGCAATTCGCTGTCTTCGAACTTTTTCGGTGGTCTTCCACATTCTTCTCACGTCAAAATCGCCACTTTTGAACTTTTTAAACCACTCAAAGCACTGTGATTTACCAAGAGCATGCTCACCGTAAGCTTCGACAAGCATTCGATGCGATTCTGCAGCAGTTTTCTTCAAATGGTAACAGAAAATCAATGCTGTCCGCAAATCGTAGTTTCCAGGCACAAAATTCGATATGTTCAACGCTATTACAAACTATGCTGTTGTATGAAACTTGTATTGTTGTGAATTAAAAATCTTTGTCAGAGATGTCAACAAAGAAATGGCGCCAATGACGCGGTTTGACGGTAACTACATTGGCAGCTAGAGCCATCTATGGGCAAATTCCGGTTTCATATTTACAGACCTGGTAGGAATAGGGTTTGAAGAAAGTTTATTCGGCAGTGCGCTTGAAAGCAATGCGCTCAAAATTCTCCTCAGGAAATATGTGTGTATCTCAACCACGAGAAAAGTATTAATAGAATATCGAGTGACTTACTTGGGTCTTCCCCTTCCAGGAAACGATTTTCTCTCAAAAATCGGTGAGGGTTCTGTAGACGTGCTAGATTCTGGTCCATGGTACAGGAAGTCTGCAAGCAAACGTTACCCTCGTTTTTTCCTCAAACTGTCCTACTTACAGCTCGCCGAACATAAATGATCAATCGCAGTGTGCGCTCCCGCGGTGGACACTTTCTCGTGGATCTACATTGCAGCGCAGCGCATAACAATCGCTCCGGACGACAAGCAAGAGATCGCAAGCTAATCGGACGTACACGACACGCCGAACGGAATTTCGTCGGAAAAAAAAGAACCCGTCGACACGACCGTGCATCGCGTTATCGTGGCCCTGGTGTTTCCATGCTCGCGGGATATCGGAAACCAAAATCGCAGCCGCAGCTAGAAGCAGAAGAGAGCAGCGCGGGCGGAAACAGCCCGGAAGAAGAGAAGCAAGGGCGTAGCTACGAATTTCGTGGTCGAAAGCGAGAATCGTGCAAAACAGAGGGGCTTCCGCGGTAATCAAAAGTACGGCGTGTAGGCCGAGTTTCGAGACACGTCGAGGACCAAATTCAGGGTGAACGTGACGCGGCGTTCCAGCAGCGTCGCTTTCTTTTCGCTACTCTACACCGCTACGCCCCTGAAGAAGAAGAGAGACAGAGAAAGAGAGAAAGAGTGGTGAAAATATTGCATACTGTGGACGCGCGAGTCGGCCGCAGATGCCGAGTGGTGCGAATCGACGAGGTGATTGGAAGACTCGGTTCGGCTGCTGGTCCCGACTTCCGTGTCGCTGTCCGAGCCCAGGGTGTCGTACTCCTCCGACTCGGACTTGCCCTGACTGACCTTGTGCGCTTTGTGCAACGGTGCAGAGGACGAACGGCCTCCGCGCACCTTAGTGTACCGGTTGCAATCCGACTGCAATCAGACGGAATTGGTTTCCATATAAAATGGCACGTCGCGCATCCGCCGCATCTCGATCCCGTCGGCAGTCTATCTCCCGACCGTACGACGATCGTACGGGCGTCTACGAGAAGCGACCAGAGCCGTTGTCGAGAGTCGTGACTTGGTGAGTTTCCGCCTGACCCGGGATAATAATTTATCACGCCGAGATTGCTACTCGTACACGAGAAGCGAGGCGACATCGCGGGAATCTCGGGAGCGGAAATGTTCACTATAATTCATCGCTGCGCGTCCAGCGGACACGGAGTGGGCGACATCGAATTAAAAGGAATCGGCAGGAGGTCACTTTCGGTTCCTGTTCATTTAAGTGCACAAGTATTTTCCGATCTTGTTGTACAGTGAGTTGCAAAACGGTGCGGACGCTACGAAGTCGGTAGCACACCAAACTGTCAAGGATCATTATTGATGGGCTCGCCTAGTAATTATATTATTAATTATTATTATTAGTATTATACTATTATTTATTATCATATAGTGGTTTTAATTATATTATTAATTATATTACTTTGGCGTAAGTGTCTGTTCATAACAATTGTCAATCTTGACAGCTTAGTACAAGCTCCTAACTTTATCGTTTTTAAACCATTTTGCGACCCACTGTATATGTTAATCTTCACTTTCATTGTATTCTCTTGAATTTTACATTGTTAGTTGTTACGACCGAGATCAGATGAAGATATTATATTTGTTATCAATGAATGGTAGGCAGGTGACTTGGTATTGTCAGTCTAATGCTTTTCCACAGATGTGGTGGATTATTGCGAAACAATCTCTCGACCGAGATATTTTTTATTCTATATTTTGTTTTCCATTTAATTACGACAATGAAGGAAAAACGGGCAGGTATCGACGTGCGTCACCATCTCCACAGAAACTCTGTTCTACTTCGTCGAATTGGGAATCGCGGTAAGGGCGATGCGATGAATCATGAGAGACAGATAGATAGATAGATAGACAGATAGATAGAGAGATAGAGAGATAGAGCAAAAGAGTCTTATGCTACAGCTAGCGGAGCTACGGCGAAACTCGGCGATGTAAATGTGTAAATGGCGAACGGCACTCGACGGATCAAGTCTGCTCTTCCAATCTTCTCGACTCGCGAATCGCCGTTTCAGGACAATTGCGAGACGAAGCGAGGTGGGACCAGCAGTCGCAATGATCGGGCTCGACGCTAATCGCTAATCTGCATCGCGGTATTGTTTCGCCGAAAAAAGAATCAGAAAAATATTTCGTATTCTCCGAGAAAAATCGTGGGCCGAATGGACGAACGAACGAACGAATCGGACAGACGCACGGACAAACGAAAGAAGAGAAAAATAAAGAATATCGGGAAGGAGAATTTGCACGCGAATTAACATTCGCAGTTATGTCGCACGTCGCATTGATCGCGCGCAAGACGCTCGAGGAACTCACACGGAGCATGCGAGTGCGAGTGACCTAAATATTCACACAGTGGATCGCTAAGGGTTCCGAATGCGCCATGGGAGTGAGGTGATTTTCAGTGCATTGTTCGAGGATGCGCATGCAATGCGTGATCATCATCGTGGGTTTAACGAAGCCGGGAATGCAGAGGGAATGAGAGGGTGAATGATAAAAGCGATGATGGTCTCGCGCGCTCGCGTTTCTCCCCGCACGTTTAACGCGTTCAACAACAAGTTCGCTTTATCCACTCGAAAAAACGATCTTGCAGTCGTAGCGAAAATTATTTAGATACGTGAAATTAGATAAGACGGATAAATGACTGACAAACACTGTAATATTACGTATGTTTTGTAAATCAGTGTAGATGACAGAATTTATCTGAATTATTTGTGAAATTTTGCGCAGGAAAATTTCTCTCTCTCTTTGTAGTGTCCATCTAGATTAAGTTCAGGTCCAGGTTAATAATTGATGGTGGGATCTAAATTTGTCCGCGGTAATCGCTGTAAATTCTACGTAGCACAGACAATTTTCCAGCACAAAACGCAGCGATAAATTTTAACTGTGACATTTGGGATTCTATCTCTGGGTTAGCAAAACACTTCTTTGAATGTCGTGGAAGCTTGTCTTTGCACGACCGAATAGTACTAAAATTGCAAAGAGTCGAAATGAAAGTAAAAGAAATTAGAGAACATGATTTAATATTATTTAAAATGTGATTTAAAATAATTTATCATGACCTGAAAGAGATAAACGACGTATATGTCTGCTCGCATGAGAAGAACTTTAGAGAATTGGAATTTCGGAATAAATGTAGGAACAAAAATGCTCGTGAGAAATCGAATTACACTCGAGCGGAGGGGAAGGGGGGAGACAAAAACGTGCGGCGAGAGGGCGAGCATAGGCGACAACGCTAACGGCGATTAATTCGGCAGACGATACCTCTCGTAACTGAAGGGTATCGGCAGTGGACAGACGAGGGTCGTGATAGACAAAGGTCTGAAGAGGCGCGGCAGAATTGCAGCGGCTGTCGCCTCCTGCAGGTACGCTTTCCTCCAGCTGGAACGTGGCGTACGGGTAGATATCTTCCGAATATTCTACAAGCATGTTTAATGACGATCGTTAATAGTGACTACGGGGTCCGCGATTGTTTTGCCCCTCGCGCGATCTCGTATTTTCCGTAGAGCCCCATTCTCGCGTTTCAACCGGCCTTTCTCATCATCTCTATCGATTTACAGTAAGAGAGGGCTCATTGATTTTTCGCACACCCCGACGCGAACGTTTGTCTATCTCACCTGGTATTTTCTCTAGGGTAGCCATCTCGTGTAACGGCGAGCGTAGCGGTTTACGTACGGTGGCGTAATACTGTTCGCGTTGCTCCATGTTCTGCTTATTGTCTAAAGCGGCCGCGGTCTGAGCGTCGTGCAGACTCCCAATGTCGCCCATGAACGGACCTGGATGGCGATGAGCATTTTTAATACATCTTTAACAATCGAGATTTTTAACAATCTCGTACTATCTCCGGAATTAAATCGATTCGTGGCTGAATCGACTGTTTATTTCATGAGAAAGAAAGTTTAATCTGCCCGATTTGTAATGCCCGTTTCTACTAACTTTGATTAACCGGCTGGTTATCTCAGCCAATCGCATTTCCCGTTAGTCAAAATTAGCATATGCGACTGATCAATTCCGTTAGAATAATCAGCCGATCAAGCTAAAGTTGGTAAAAACTGGCATAAGTGAAACGTTTCTTCTGTAAAGTAAATCGATTCTCATTTAGATCGTATCAGTGACCGCACTTGTATTCATTTCTGGAGACGCTTATTTTTTTTAATGCGGCCTTTGAAATTTATTTCAACTATCTCGGATATATTTGGATTTTACTCGAGTAAATTTGTTGCGTTACTCGCGAGGTGTTGCTGTTGAACTAACGTTTGCGGAAGCAATAGAAGACAGCGCCGGCCGCGGCGATGACCGCGAGCGAGCTCAGCACCAGTGGCACGATCAGCTTCAGGTCCGAGTACACGGATGTGTGCTGCGGGATATAGTGATCGATCTCGATGGCAGACATGGTCGTGCTAATGTGCAGCTGCAATGTCGTTATCTTGTACTCGGCCACCGACGAGCCGGCGTTGTTGTGGGCTCTTATGCGGATATTGTAAGTAGTGCCCGGCTGCAGCTCGCTCAGAGTATATGTCTTTTGCACCTGGCGACAGTATCCGTGTAATCGCACATTAAATATTACATCCTTTCACGGAGATCAGTTGTTAGCGAAGTAGCGTGTATAATGTCACAAAGTATCAACCGAAGATTTAGCGTCATTAATAATTCCTCTCTATGAGAGAGTATCTGGTTTCGAAGATAAAAGTCATTCCATAACAGGACTAAAGTAACTGAAGAAAGTATTTTCTACGCGCGCGCGTGCACAACGGAAAAGAGAATAACTTCGGACATTTTCACACGACAGAGAGACAGAAAACGATGTAGAGCTTTGCACCCCGGCGCGAAATGAGATCTCTACTTGGATACCTCTATATTATTTGAGACCAGCGTCCAAATGCCCTCGCCACTTTTCTTGTACTCCAGCTCGAAGTACGTTATAGGACACCCTCCGTCATTCCACATGCTGAGGTGCAGCGTGATCCACGATACATTGACCGTGACGAACTTGTCGCCATTGCCGGGCGAGTCGTCCGGCTTCGAGCCCTTCGTGGTCGCCTTGAAGATTTTGCTCGGCTTGCCCATGCCGATGCGATTGTACGCCGTCATGTACACCTGGTAGTCATTGCCGCACCAGAGCCGCGACAGTACGAAGGTGTTCACTTTGTGCGACACCTTGAACTCCTCCCACTCGCCAGACTCGCGTTTGTAGTGCAGGATGTAGCCCTTAATCGGCGACTCGCCGTCGTCGGTCATCTTCCATTGCACGTTGATCGAATTGCTGCTGGTGCCGATCGCGTGCAATATCGGTGCCGCAGGTGGTACTGAGAAGACAAATATTGACTCAGGGATCTTGCCCTTGTATTACCGCTACTGTATCGAGATCCTCCCCGAGTTTAAAGGGAGTTCTCTGAGAAGGAGATAGCTCGTCTTTATTCTTTGAGCGTTCAACAAGTAAAAATGGAAAAAGTGGAACAGCGAATAAAATTGTAAGAAGTATAAGGTAGACAGTAATCAGAGCGATACCTTCCAAGGCTGTTAAAAATGCATGATTTCGAATGTATTTGAAGTCTTCGTGATATTTTAAATTACTTTACCGACAATCACTCTTTACTTAACGATATAGTTCGACTAATTTAATTAATTTTGTACTGAGAGTATTTTTTCACAGATATTTCTTCTCGCACAAGCTTATTCGGGCTGGCTTACCTTGTACGGTTAAACGGTGGCTTATTTTGTCGGAACCATGACGATTCTCCACGAAGCAAGTGTAATTTCCGCTATCGTTCCTGTTAAGATCGACAATGTGCAGGGATCCGTCGGGATGGAGAGACATCCTTCGGTTCGGGTTGACGATTTGTCCCCAACGCTTCCAGTTAACCGAAGGCTCGGGCTTGCCCACACTCTGGCAAGGCAGCGTCACATTTTGTTTCCACGGCACAACGAGCGTGGTGTCGAACGAGTATATGGCGGCGCGAACTGTAATAAAGTATCGTGCGAACATCCCCTCAGCAAGGACACGGGACGATAAATCGCGGTTATCTAAGTTAACTTCCATTGAGTACACAAACTCGACGAAGTATTTCCCACCGGCTGAGAGGAGATCGAGAAGATTTAAAGTTCGCGCAAGAGAGTTCGCGACGACTTCCAAGGCCGGCCGGAAAATACGAAATAGAAGCAAGAAGACGTGTCTCATTAACAAAACATAAATACGACGCTCGGTATCTCGTTGGGGAGCCGTTTGCAAACAATTCATTTAGCTCGAGAAGCCGGATGTTTACGTTATCCAATGGACGAATTAACGGCCCTCCGAAATCCAACTTCCGCAACTAGACCAACTCGCGCCCAAATGCAACTCTCGCAACTTCCAAGTTTCATGACTGAGGTAAGATTGCACATTTTCTCTATGTAGTAAATACGCAATCGCGCTTCCGCACGGTTCTTCAGTGTCCCAAACGTATCAGCGCGCATTTCGACCATAATTGAGGCGCAACTTTTCTTTACGTTCTCGATATGTTTTTCATATCCCACGTGTCTTCTAATTTGCAATCGATCACGATCTCGAAACCGATCCAATTCGCGACAGAGATACCCTACGATCCTTTACCTTCGCTGGAAGGTGAAACCGTGATCGACGGGGTCTGCGGTCCCTCGCCGACCGACGTGACAGCTGCGATGCTGAATTCGTATTGGCTCCTCTTGTGCAGATCTTCGGCCTGATAGCTGGTCTGATGCGGCAGCAAGGCTCTCCGGTGCCACTTGCCCTCCGGTCCCAACGCTCGAATGTGTACGTTATAGGCCGTGATATTGCCATTGCTCTTGAACGGTGGCTGCCAGGAAACGATGATGGAAGTGGCGGAACTGGCGACGGCCTTGACACCAGCCGGCACTTCCGGCAGGTCCTCTTCGGTGACACAGAAGAGGGACGTCGAGGCGACGCCGTCGCCGGCCTTGGTGGATGCCAAGACTTGAACTGAGTAATTCGTGTACTTCTCCAGACCGTGGATCATCACGGTTAGAGCGGTGGTGATTTTCATTTCTGGCTTGATGAACTCCGCCAACGCGTCAGTGTTCTCCCACATGACCTTGTAGCCCTTCAAGTTCCCGTTCAGGCTGGACTCGGGTGGGGAGTCCCAGGAGACTTGCAAGGACTGCGAGGAGAGCGCCGTGCAGCGCACGTCCAGCGGAGGACTGCTCGGGACTGGAAGCGCGTTTTACCCGAGATATTAAGATTACGTTTTCGTATGAGGTAGTCCGCGTATCATCGTCTGCCATGCACTAAGCGCTAAAGCATTTAATATCAAGCAGAGGCTACGTTGGGTCACTTGCGCGATATTCGTGGAATATCTAATAAATACAATTTAGCGGATTAAAATTTCCATTTGAAGCCATCGACTTCAAATATTAACGAAGAAACCATCGATTTAAAGTAACAGCGATTAACATTTTATAAATAGTCATTTATCTATAAATTAAGTTCATTGAACTTCTAATAAACTACCAGAAGGCAGCGTTAAATCGGCAATATTTTTACACAACCAAACTCCGAGCAAAAGCAAAAACGTAAGATGTGTCCATTGCGTTTAAAACGATCATCGACATAAGAATATCTGGACGTACTCTTCATTTAGATAAGGAGTAAGGAGAAATTTGCGATTAGTAATTTGGTTCATACGTACTCACTTTGTGAGTAGATCTTAAACTGTGATATTAGCTTAAACTACTTGCCCGAACTTCTTATATCTAGAACATCACAAAGTGTCAAGGTGATGAAATCAAAGGGAAAAGTGTTCAAATTTCATGTAATCTATATTTTCCTGGGTCCTAGACAAAAAGAATTTGGTCTAGATTGGTCAAAAGGTTAAAAGTTTAAACAGAACAGATAGATTGACAGATATTTTATTATATATATATAAAATGCTATTAAAATAACATCCGGTAGTTTCGGGTGTCCCAGATGTTATTTTAATAGCAGATTCTTTAGAACATTTTAAAACGATAATTTTGATACAAAAATGTCGAGGCTATAATAGTTTTCAAATGGGAAGCGATTATATTTCACCAATAACAGAACTTAGATTTCGCGCGCTCAAGCATGCCGAAGTGACAAGTGATAAAGGTACCACACACCGTATAGAATAGTGAACACCTTCATGATAATAATTGATCAATGCTTTGACAGATTAAACTGAAATATGTTATTTTTACTTGAATCATATTTAAGATGTCTTACAACTATTATTCGTATAAAAAATATATTACTGCAAAGCATAGAGAAGCGGCAAAACATATTATGACAATGTTATTGTAAATTTATATAATGATCATAATATCGTAAAAAAAATATCGTGGTATGAATGACATTCATAGGAGAACTTTATCACTTGCCATTTCAACGTGCCTGATCGTGCGAAATCTCAGCCTTGTTATTGATGAAATATAATCGCTTCCCGTTTGAAAACTATTATAGCCTCGACATTTTTATATGAAAGTTTTCGTTTTGAAATATTCTAAAGAATATTCTGCCATTAAAATAGCATGCGGTAGTTTCGGGACACCCTATATATATATATATATATATATATATATATATATATATATATATATATATATATTGGCAATACATTGATGAAACAAATTCTTTCAAAGATGCTATTTCAATTAGTTGCAAACATCACGGTTCCAGTGTGAACTAGTATAAAATTGGATATGTCTGAAAAAGTCACGGCGAAAATATCATTCGACGAACTTTTTTTTACCGTTAATCAGATCTTACCCTCGTGAAATGCTCCGTATAGGATATTCTTATACCGACGATCGCGCATATTCAACAATAACCTGAATGCGCCTGCATAGGATATTTTCGGAGTTCTGATATAAAGTGGAAAGGGGTTCACGATCTCGTCGCGGCGACTGTTTGCCCTCACGATCGAAAATATCGGAGTGCACTTGAAAGTTTTGCCGGGTCCGCCATCCGTGCGGATAGGATTAAAGAAGTTATTTGCGAGCGCGGATCGCTACCGCGTGCTGTGCGGGGCGCGACGGCGGGTGCCGCATCTGAATTTATTATTTATCCGGAAGTCGTGCGGCTGCCGCGTACGTTGGTATTCATAGCGGAATTCGTGATAGGCTCGCGGCACAAGCGCGAATATTATTCTCTTCATGAATTTTTGAAGGCGCCCGATGTAAAAATAGACGTCTACACGAAAGAACCTAGTGAGACGTTCGGGACGTCGGAGGAGCTTGCGAATCGATAGCATCAGTATTGCACGTGCTAATTTCGCACGTTCGACATGGCACGTGCATTTTCGTGGTTGTTCGGCTAGTCTCGTAAAATTTATAACACGAGATAAATCGAAGATCAATTTTCTATTTAAATAGGATTGTATTCTCTATTAAAGTGAATCAGTAAATAATAATAATAATTTTTAGTGAATAGTCATTGATATAAGTATAGCACTGAGCAGTTTCAATGCTCTACTTATAGCTGCAAATCAGTGTATATGCTTTCAATAATATTTCACTGATTCACTTTAAGAAAGTCCATTCGTAATAAATGATCGTCTATGGCGGAACGGCTTAAAATTCGTCTTAAATTATATTATTAATATAATATATATTATTAAATTATATATTAGGAATTAATTCACAGAGTTTTAATTTCTATTCCAGAAAGCTCACGAAATTAATATTTTACAATCGCGCGTTCCAAATTAAGACGCTGAAATGTTATCGCGGTATTCTGAAAAAGAGATAGTATTTGCGGCTACAATTGTGTAGTGAAATAATTATTGTCGGGAGTGTAAGAATTTTTGTGAGAGGTGTTACTATGGTATTTATATAATAATCTTATATAAATATAAATATTGCTATCATATATTATCTTTTCAGAAGAATAAAACAGGTTGACACCGAAAACGGCTTCAATTGAATCGAGATTAAGCATTTTTTTTTCTTTCAGCGTATCTTCGACATGCACTTGTCGACCTAGAAGTAAACGCCGGTCGATGCGGTTTTCACGGTCGCTTACCATCCTCGAGTGTCGTAGCCTGAACTTCCTGTGTCATGGGACCGGGGCCGAGGGCGTTGAACGCTTGAACGACCACGCTGTAACGCGTGTACTTCTTCAAGTTCGTCAAGTGATGCTGCCGTCCGGGCATGGACGTCCTCGCCAAGCCCAGAGCGACACTCGCCGTCGAGATCCGTCTCTCCACAGTTTTGTACGTATACTGCTCCGCGCCGAACCTGTATTTCGCGAAAGTGTTCATTACACCTGGTTGGCGTGATTAATTAGTCCGCCGCTATCAAGTGTCTCCCTTTAATCTCAAACTTGGCGAAGCGCGAACTTCAAAATTGGATTAGAATAAAAAATGCAAGGGCGATAGAAAACCCTGTATAAGGAGTAGCGGAGCATTATTCTTCGCGCGATATTTCCGGCGTGCATAATTTACGAAACGGGCGAACGATCAGGTGTATGATGAATGCAGATATCCACGAGAAACTCAAGAATCTAAAAGCGCATTCTAACATCGCCAATTAGGAGTTACAAGCTCCAACGAGTCAGAATGGAAACTCACTTGGATGGCGAGTTGCGTAATCGAGTTTCGAGTTTACTACAGTACTGTAAACTAGCGTATTCCAGAAGTATGAAAAATTGACGTCGATGCATGCACAATGGCGCGTAATAAACACAATGCGAAATGAAACGATATAAACAAAACACGGCCGAGGCGAAATAAAATGCGAGGTTTTTCGAGGATTTGTCGGTGTTGCTTCTGGCGAATAAATAACTGACCTCGAGATAGCGGGTCGTTTATTAATGGCGCGCGATTCTACGCTATCAGCTCTATGGGCGAAATCCAGAGAGTCGGAGTTTTCGCTGTCGCGCGTGTGCGTGTGTATGCCTCCGGGTGCAGGAGCGAGGCAGCAAGCTGTCATATTTGTCAGGGCGCGTCTCGTGGAAACAACAACGCTGTTTTCGGTCGTTACCTTTGTTCCTTGTAGCCGACATGATAACCAAGTATCTCGCCGTTCCATAAATCATGATCGGGCGGGTCCCAGGTGACGTTGAACTCGGTCGAGCTGATGGGATCAACTTTGAGATTTCGCGGTGGCCCGCCAGGCTTCTCCCCCTCCGTCGTTGAGTCCAAAATCTGAAAAAGCGAAAAAACTCGCGCTGATAGCGCCTCTAGCGTGGCTCGTTCACTTTCACCGCCACTTTCGCCGCAACATTTTTGTTTAAACAAATCGTCGCAGAATAAAAATTTCTGCCCCGCGGCTAATTCGAAATGCGAAATTTGTAAAAAAACGTGATATAACTGCATATGTGTGTGTGTGGCTTGTCTCTTTTTTTTTATTTTACACGCGATCAAATTTTTCACAGCAATATGACAGCGAAACATAAAAAAAAGAATACACACACCTTGTTTATTAAATAGTAAAAAATTGTAGCGAAATTAATAATTAATAGGAATTAACAGGACAAAATCGTAATAAAATGAAGAATGATCAAAATTAAAATAAAATAAGGAAGAAAGAACTCTTTATAAGAGAATCTAATCAGTAGTAGAATAAAGGGCCAATACAAGTTTAGGCACAGCTGTTATAACGCCATAAAACTAATAAAAATTAGTGACACAACTCTCATTTACATTTGAGGGATATTTTATTAATATAGTAAAATTATTCAAACGCGTTTCGGTCTAATTCGCAGATCCTCTTCGGGTCGCAAATGATTTTTATTAAATTTCAAAAAGACGACTTAAATTCGCAAATTGACACCGAAAATCTGGACAACTGTTATAACACGTTGCTTGATTCTATTTTACGTTAGCTTTTTCATATACAGCTCTCGTATATAGTTTTTATGCCATTGCGATTGATATACAGGGTGTCTCACACTCTCCTCCGGGCATTTTGTGCGGACGTAGAACAGGCTGAGGTGAACATAAAAGTCCTATACGGTTTTGCGATATTCGCAATAATTATCGAGATATTAATTGTAGAAAATTTGTAAATAATCATGCAGGATATGGTAAATAAGTTATAATAGCGACGACTGCCGTCGTGTACTTATACTTTAGATCAAATTGAACAAAAAAGTCCTCTATCATTTTGCAAATAATCACATAGATTTTTAATTATTAATTAAAGAAGATTATTGCACGATTTTGCGTGATAATGCACTTATCTTCTTTAATTAATAATTAAAAATCTATGTGATTATTTGCAAAATGATAGAGGACTTTTTTGTTCAATTTAACCTAAAGTATAAATACACGACGGCAGTCATCGCTATTATAACTCATTTACCATATCCTGCATGATCATTCACAGATTTTCTACAATTAATATCTCGGTAATTATTGCGAATATCGCAAAACGGTATAGGACTTTTATGTTTACCTCAACGTGTTCTACGTCCCCACAAAATGCCCGAAGGAGAGTGTGAGACACCCTGTATAAACAAACTTCTTGTACCGCTCTCGGATTCGGAGATTCACTTGAATATCGACCTAACATTGCGTTTATTAGTGAACGGTTTTTATTTTTGAGGTAATTATTCTTTATTAGCTCTCTGCCCAAATTTTCACCTTTACCATTGTTTCTCCTTTAATTTTTAATTTTAATAGACTTTTACATCTCACGACACTCTATTAAGTGCTTCGTTGAGTAACGGATTTTATATTTGGGCTAACAAGGACGACTTCCATCATATGTTCTTTTGGTCTCGAAAGATTTTCTTAGTTCACTTTTTGTTTTTTTTTTTGCGTTGACCTCCGTTTCCCGTTTGCGAATTTGTTTTTTCAACGACATCTTATTATTTTGACTCCCGTGACGGACAACTGTTTTATTGTGTATATATATATATATATATATATATATATATATATATATATATATATATATTTGTATTTTTCTTGTTATCACTGAAGAGAGTCTGCGAATTAGACCGAAAAGCGTTTGAATAATTTTACTATATTAATAAAATATCCCTCAAATGTAAATGAGAGTTGTGTCACTAATTTTTATTAGTTTTATAGCGCTATAACAGCTGTGCTCGGAACTCGTATTTATTCTACTACTGACAAAGTTAGACGTCAACGATTGCACGGTAGCTAACGCGGCAGTCGAAAAGCTCCTAATTCCGATAACCGGCCATCAGGAAAACACGCGAACGGAAGATCGGATGTCACGAGGATTCCACTGCGACAGAAACGAACACGATCGGATCCGCGCCCGATATTTCACTTCGGAACTGCGCGGCGTTCCGCAGCCTGTTTTCTTAAACGCGGACGAATTCTTCCTCGCGGAGAGGACAGAAAAAGAGAAGAAGCACAAGAGGGTCGATATGCTCGAAAGGGCAGCGGTGCAATTTAAATCCAGGCCAACGATGCGACGTTACATCCGTCGAGAAGCGACGGAAGGAGAGAAAGGGAGGGAGAGAGAGATTCGTTTCGCGAGGTGAGATAGCCTTTTTTACGCGCGCGTATCGATCGACGCCGGTCCCCGACCTGGGTGTCCCAATTGTTTTAATTCTCGGGGGCGAGAACGAGCGAGGAGTCAGGCCGCGGGTGAGGGAGGAAGGCTGGGGGATGTCGGCGACGAAACGAGCGTCGACGAGAGGGATTTGACTTGTAAATGCCTGGTCGGTCCTGGCCGATACCTACGTCGCTCGCTTGACTCCGACCCAGTTCGTTGTCTGCGTATATCCGGAAGTGGTAAGTGACCGCAGGACGCAAGCCGCTCACGTGGCCGTGAGCACGTGTACCTGGCACCGTCGTGTGGAACGTGTGGTCGTGCCATACCTCTGCAAGATTGAGCAATCATTCCGCGGGGGTTTAATCCTAATAATCAGTGGCCGGAAGCGCAGACAATGCGAAATTGTCGACGCCGCAGCGCCGACGGGAGCCTGACATTTTTATCAGTTGCGTAACTTTCATATTCCGGATCGTTACTGACGTTCAATAGCTTTCATGTTTCCGTTGCCATGTCGATTCATTCGGTCGTCCATTACTGATACGTTTTTACAATGCTGACCCAGTAAACAAAAAACATTATATCTATCTTTTGAAACATTGATATTGCATAAATAACGTTTCTGTATAATGTTTTATGAATGTTTTTTAAATGCAGCATAATGATATTGCTTTCCAAATATTCAAGGAATATTGTACATGAGACAAAACATTTTTTACATATTAAGCAAGAGACATAAAAATAACATCCTAAATAATATATATGATATTTCAATATAAAATCAAATACACTTATGTTCTAAATAATTAAAAATAATTAAAATCGTTTTTGTAAACGATTTTATATGATACGTTATATGATACGTTATTGAATACGTTGTACTGATTTCTTGTTTATTGGGGAATTAAATTGTATAAGTTAATGAACATTCATCGGATTGCACTTACCCGACTCAGTTTTGTACTCGATTATATACTGAGTAATTGGACTGTTCCCGTCTTGACTGGTCGTCCAACCTAGGTTAATGTGACGACTGCCTTTCTCGATTACATGAAGATTACGAGGGAAGTCTGGGGGTTCTGTACACAACATTGACACAATATTGTTGAATCTTAATGTCTAATTCTGCAGTGTTTAAAGAATTTGACTTCATCTAATTTTTATATGTATATATCATGTTTATATATATGTATATATAACAGTGCACAAATTATTTTCTCTTCATTATATATATATATATATATATATATTCATTCATTATTCATTATTTTCTCTTCATTATATATATATATATATATATAAATTTTATATATATATATATATATATATATATATATATATATAATTTGTCTGTATAATTTGTTGTAAAGTACTTATATTCTCCTAATATTGAAAATTTATTTGCTTAATTAAAACAATTAATACTTTTATATTAGAGAAGATTTTCAAGAGTTTGGTGCAACTCCGACGTGAGCCGAGCCGCGATATCAAGTCGCATAGTCGTGTTTAATCCTCGCAAACGTTTTGCAGCGTGAAATTAGAGTTTGATAATTAGTTGAGAATTTTCGCCTAATCTTGTGCGCGCGTCGCGTCCCATGGAATAATTTTCAGTTACGGCACGATTGTCGCGTCCCGCATTATGCATATTTCACGGGTTATCCGGCACAATACGTCCGCTCGAAACGTATCTCATTTTGGAGAACACGTACGCGAGAGCCGCTGCTCATCTATCTCGTGGTGCGCGTACTTGCGCGGACGTACATTAAATTAAATGGACGCGTTGTCGAGTGCCTGTATACATTACGATAATTACATTCAGCGGAATAGCGCCACGCATAAACATCTGGCGATGCCGCGAAGGTAGCATAGCGATAGCTCGCTTCGTAATAATTTCATGCGTTCCATTAATAACCTTATACCGCCGCGCCGACAATTATTAACGTCCGCACCATTATCGTGATTATTTGCATCGTTTTACTTTTTGTCTCCGCTTTTTAGTTAGTATTGCTGAAATTGCCGGCTGGCTTACCGCCTCGCTCAACTGGCATCTCTCTACATTTATATCCGTAATTTAATAAGCGGTTCTCGTGAGATTTTCCTCAGAATCCAGACAAATCTATTTTCTGTGTTCTCCTACCTTGAATATAAAGATGAATCGTCATCTCGTCGCGACCGTAGGAGTTGGAGGCGATGCAGAAATACCTGCCGCTGTCTTCCCGGCTGGTACTGACGAAGCCGAGGACACTTATAGTACCGTCGGTGGTGTTGTCCTCCTTCAGAGTATAACGATAGTCGGGAAGTTTCGGCTCTAATTGGGAGCCGGCTTTCTTCCAGACTATTTTCAAAGGATGATCGCCCTTCGCCTCGCAGCGCAACGAGGCATTCGAGCCTAGCCTCGCCGTCTGATTGCGATGTTTCTCCACGAAATGCGCGGGAACTGCATCAAGGAATAGTGCGAAGCGTGCATTTATTCCAGAAGGCGGTCGTGTTCGAAACCGCTTATTGATCAAATTAATCTTTCACGGAAAATGACAAATGTGGCCCCAGACTGAGCAATAATGCGGGAGAATTGACAGAAACGAGACACTCTTCCGCCTCATCGAAATAATTCGTTTTATTGTAAATTATAATCCAATAATACATCATAAATTGTAAGGTTATTTTGGTAAATCATTCATTTTAATGGATTTACTGTGACACAATGAATTTGAAAATATGGATTTGGAATTATATTTACATTTACATCCAATTGAGGACGTGTTTATTTTAGAAGAAATTTAAATTTGAAAATCTGGGGTTTATAAAAGAGATAAGAGTTACCAATTTACATTCGACCTTATCTTTCAAGGCACATTATCGAATGCGCTTTACCCGTCAATGTTTGCTCTAAAAACCAACAGATCGTGCTCTACGGAAACACCAAGGTGTTCGAGCAATTTGATTATTTTGTCAGAAAATATTTTCTCGTTGCGTCAGTAGGTCAAAGTGGATTTAATTGACTACACGCGAGCCAATTGTCGCGTCGTCGATAATACCCGGAGCTTCCGTGAAATCCAATTAGGGTTAATCACCAATTAGCAGAGTGACAATCTTTCCCGGAGGAAGGATATTTTATCTCCTAAGTTATTAATAGCATTGTCAATAACTGCATTGCGAGAAACAGCAAAAAATATGTTTTATGTCTATAACATTTCTTTCTTATCAGGCAATAAAAAAAAGAAAATTGCGTTTTATGCGAAAGAAATACTTAGGTTATCATAATACCGTACACAGAAAAAAATTTCGTTGGATCATACCTCTTCTAAAATGTGAACAAATCGTAATTTCGATTGAAGTTATCAGGATTCTGATAATACTCAAGCTAACAAGATTCTGATTAAAGGCAGAACTTTCAACTGTTTAAATTGAACAATTGCAAATTTCTGGTTAATCGGAAATCTAATCTGATTAATCAGAAGTTCGCTCATATTTCACCAAACATTTGATTGATCCAACCGAATCTTTTTTTTCCGTGCGTTCTCCATCGTTGTAACAAGATAATGAATTTACACGAATTTTCGCTCGTTTACACGCGAGATTTTACACAAGAGCTAAAGATTTGTTAAAAGAGTCAATTGATGAACGTACCGTTGACAGTGAGATAAACGACCTTGCTGAGTCCAGCTCCGATGCCGTTTACAGCCTCGCACAGGTAAAAGCCCTCGTGGTCCTCCTGCACGCGGCCGAACACTAGCGACCCGTTGGAGTGTATCCTGAGATCCTGCATGTGCTCGTGGCTGGCTATGTCGTGATAATTGCCGGGTTTCTTGCCGCTACCGCGTCGCCACGTGACCAACGGCGGCGGGAAGCCATCTGCGTGGCAATGCAGGCTCAGCCGGGGCATCCCTTCCGATGCGTGGGCATCCTGCGGCTCTACCACCCAGCGTGGCGGCACTGATCCACAATGCACGATCATTAATCGATTGCCTTGGGTCGTCCCAGATATGTGGATGCCACTACAGCGACGTGGCCCGGAAGTCCGATCAATTATTCTGTTCGTATCGGTTGTCTCATCAGTGCGTTCGTTTGTATAAATTTTGAAAATTTCTGACCACTGAAAATTTCGAAGGAGCGCTTCCGTTACGAAGTTAATTTTTACGAAAACGACATATACTTGATAGTTGAATAGCCGCCTACGGTTGAAAAAGCGGATGTTATTTTGCATTATAAAAGTCTGATTTAATCCCGGATCGAGATAATTTTAATCTCAAGCGCAATTAATGATCTCTCATCGGTGATTATTATTATCAGAGAGCTGAACTCTGAGAAGAACTTTTCTAAGGGAAAAATTGCTCGGAATTTTTATTCACACGAGTAATTAAGCCCAGAGATGTTCGTTAACGTAACCGATCTTGCCGTGTCTATGGAATTTACGCGGAGACGCTCTCCCGGACCCCGTCGCGCGTTTCTCTACCTAAGCTTATTGCGCCGAGGCAAGAGCGAAAAGTTCTCGGGGAGAGGATTGGCCTACTGCAACTTCCTACTTCAGCCGCGAAAGTAAAGAAAAATAGGATTTGAAGGTGCGCGAGCGAGAGAGCTGGAGTGCCCTCTCGGGATTGCGGATAAACGGCGCGAAACTTTCGCTGATAAAAATTACGGACTGTCCGCCAAATGCATTGGCGAATTGCTTCCCCTCTCCCTCTCTCTTTTTCTCTCTCTTTCCCTCTCTTTCTTTGTCTCGTGGACATTGTGACAGGAAAAAGAATGAACACACAGAAAGAGAGAGAGAGAGAGAGA